GGTCACCTCCGGGGCAGGCGGGAATTGAACTCATGCAGAAGTGGCTTTAGCTTCTTAGTGCTGTGCTTTAACCCACTGCGCCACCAGGGAGGGCCTCAGTTAAAATATTTTTTATAAAATATTCTTTGAAAAGAGAGGATTTAGAAACCAGTAGACATTATGAATGGTTTTCTGGTTTGATGCTAAGAGGGTGGTATTTTGTAAGGAGAAGTGTCCAAAAATTTTAAGTGATGCAAAACAAAGTCATATGCATTTTTCCTCTGACTTGTTGGCATTTTAGTCAACTGTGAGTCTAAAGAAGTTACTGCATGGGCACACGCTGAACCTCTACCATAATCTGAACTTCATAGGATAGATCTTAAATCTGGAATTGCTGAGAAGATTATATGGTTTTAGAAATGGCATTTCCTAAAATGAGTATCTCCTGAAGATGAAAATGGAGAAATAGTTCATGTCAGGTTTAAGTTAAACATAAACTGGCCCTTTAGACGTTTGTGTTTCAGGATTTTCAGTTTCTATCATTTCTGCTATTAAAAAATTAACATGCTTGTTAAAACAACTTGCATGTTAACACACATGCACACTGCATACGTGCAGTGTTCTTTCCAGTCCTTGTATTATCGCCCTTATCTAGTCACATCAGTAGTAGTAGTTGTGTTACTGCCCCTATCTGGTCACACTCAACAGTAATATACATCTGAGAAGGTGTGAACCTCTTCCCCCAACTCTTAAACAGTATTATACCAATTACCTCAGTAATATTTTTTTTAATTCAGAAATTAAAAATTAGAGTTGATCTTAAAATCAAAGGGCAAAAAACAGTAATTACAACAACTATAGCTTAATTATAAGAATGCTTTGTTATAATTAAAAAATAAACAGGACTATGGTGATGGCACATGGCTGATTTGGTGATGGGGAAACCCAAGGGGATTGCAACTGAGATGGAAAAATGCACAAAAAAATAATATGTAAAAATAACTATTATAAAATAAAAAACAGTAGCAATAAATGCTTAGTAAACTTTAATTTAAAAAGGCCTAATAGTTAATTACCTGAGTTACCTATTAGCCAATGAGCAAGATTTGTGAAAGATATTAAAATAACATATATACCAGTTGGAAACTAAAAAATACTAGTCATTGTTCCCGAATATTACTGTCCTGTCTCCCTGCTTACCTGGTCATTAACTCTGAACCTTGGGGTCTGTCTAATAGTTATAAACCTGTATGGCATAGACTAGAGAAGTTACCTTTGATGGCAGGTTTTTTGCACTGGCATAGGAAGAAATGTTTAACTTAAATTTCAAAAGTGCCAAACCCATTAGCTTCTGTGCATTTCACCAGTAAAGTTTCTTGAGTCATCTCATTTTGTATAGTGTGTTAATATTTTATTTTTAACAACAAAAATAGTACATGTGTGTCAGAATAATTATAGCTACATCTTTTAGGAAAATCAGTAGAAAATACGAAGTAATTATTTCAGGTATTTATTGGAGTAGCAAGATAAAATGTACTTATCTACATGATACTAAATATCAGAATATTTGAAATTAGCATTAGCATTTGCTGTCATGCCTCATGATTTGAGTTTTTAGTATTGAGTTACCAGAACGCATTTGAGTTCTTACTATGTGTTGCCTCCTATGTGCTAAGAATGGAGGCGTAATTTTTTTTTTAAGTATGGCCATTGTTTATAATAAAACGTATCTACTATATGCAGATTAAATTTAAAAAGATTAATTTGCCTTTTATATATGTGGTTTTTCATTTGTGATTTCTTAAATGACTTGTGAATATTAAATTTTTATCATAGCATTTCTATGGTTTGTTTTAACCCCTTCTTCTCAGTCTCTGTCTCTCTTATCCTAATTATACAGATCAGGAATTTGGTGTTTTTACTGAGTATGTAAGCTTCAAGACTGTCTTAATACACCAAGACTTTTTTAAAAAGATGTGATAGTAAATTGATAAATAGTAGATATCAGCTTAAATTTGACTGACAGTCCTTACAGTGCAATTCTTTCTTGATTTTACTATATAGTGGGAATATAAGGGCCATATGTACCAGTTAAGCTGTCCTATAGCTGCTTATATTTATTTATATTTGGCTTTCATATAGTGTTTGGTACCTAATACGACTGTTAAAGTTGTATAAAGAGTAGTGGTCATGGCATCCAAAATAATTGCTGGTTTAAGCAGACTTGTGCTAGAAATTATCAACTCAGCTAAGCATAAATCAAAATGTATGTGAAAAAGTATATAAAAGTTGGAGGAAGAGGGCCCTCCCTGGGGGCGCAACTGGTTAAAGCACAGCTCTAAGAAGCTAAAGCCACTTCAGCATGAGTTTGATCCCCACCCTGGAGGTGATCCACATGGCATGGCAGACCTCTCCTGACCTGCTAACTGCTTCCCTCAGCAGTATACTTCATCAGTCGGCCTGTTCTGATCCCCACTCTGTCTCTGGTGAATCCTCTCACCGCCCCTGCACCTCTGGCCTGTACCCCATCTCTGTATGCATAAATAAATCTTTTTTTTTTAAGTTGGAGGAAGAAACCTTAAAAGATGAAAAATAGTAATTTAAAAAATTGAACCTAAAACATGCTGTTTAAATGTGATTTTCACATATGGCAGGTTGGTGTTGCATATATTGTGATTGTTTTCTTGGGAATTTATCGACTCTATCAAAATTATGTATAATAGCCAGGTTCTAGTTTCTAATCTTAACAGACCAAAGGCTGTGAAGTTATGACCCAGATGGAGAAGATAATTCTTTTGTTATTTCAACCCTTCTACACAGGACACCATATTGGCAGAACTTCTTCAGATACATAAAGAACACATTGTAGGATACCATGAACATGATTCTCTTTTGGACCACAAAGAAGAGGAAGAATTAACTGAAGAAGAAAGAAAAGCTGCTTGGGCTGAGTATGAAGCAGAGAAGAGGGTAGGTCATTCAAGATGATTTTTTTTTGCTTTTATATTACTCAATAGAGAGTAGCAAGAAAGGAAATGGTCACATTCGGGACAGGTAATAATATGTAGTGTCTTCAGGAGCAGAATCCTCAAAAACGAGACTATCTTTACAGAAGCTAGCTATCTTTGGTAGTAGAATAGAAAGAGAGGAAACGAAATTTTTTTTACATAAAGAATAGTAAATGCCATTTCTGCATAGCATTTGCCAAACTAGGAGATGAGTGGTAACCTACTTATGTAGTATCAACTCCCATAAATACCCTCACTGTATGTAACAGACATCTGGAGCTTAGAGTTTGGAGCTTGGAGGTGGGAATAAATGTTGCTTTAGCATGCATACCATGAAGTTAAATATTTAAGTGAATATTAGGACAACAAAATAATTCCATTGTTAGAAATTAATGTCAATCTCTAGCAGTAGCTTTATTTCAAATACTTCATTTGTTTTTAAACACCAACTTATTTGAACAGAATTATGCCTGAGCACAGGAAACCTTACCCTAATACTTGAATCCTTTTAAAACTGCTAACTTATTGTACCAAACTTCTTAACATTAATGTGTTAGGGATCTCATCAGAATTCTGAGTTGCCCCATTCTGTGGGAATTTATCAAAAAAAAAAAAAAGTACACCTTTAGGGGTTAAAGCTTTCCATGTAATAAGATCTCAGTTTTAAGTGAAAAGGGTGTTTTGTTTGTGTGTGGAAGAGTGTTAATAATTTCCTAGATCTGAGAATGTGGGTTCTTTTCTAAACCAGTAGGTGATGTAGAATTTCAAGTTTTAAATCACAGTGTGCAAAGTGCATAATTTTTTGTTTTTAGGGACTGACCATGCGTTTCAACATGCCAACTGGGACCAATTTACCCCCTGTCAGTTTCAACTCTCAAACTCCTTATATTCCTTTCAATTTGGGAGCCCTGTCAGCAATGAGTAATCAACAGCTGGAGGTAAGTTGTGAAGTACAAAAGTAGTTTAACTTGAATTAGAGGCAATTTCAAGTGCTCTGTTGTTGAGAGTTCCCTATGCAGGAATATCACATTCTCCAAAAGATTACCTCTGAATAGATCAAGAAATTTTTCTTTTGTTTGTTGACCTTTTTGAACCAGCACAGTATAGTAAAATGTGGTTTCTTCAGAAACAGGGGAATCGGGCCTTGACTTAATGTAGTTTGAATTATTTTAATTAAGGAAATATAAGGCAGCTGACTGACTAGAGAAATAGCGCTTTCTTCATTTATAAAATATTTTGAATAAATATTATTTGCTGAATGTTTGAAAATAGGAGAAATTACGTATTTATTTATATTCCCATGCAGTGTAGATGCAGCATTAAATGTATTATAATGTACAGTATTTTGAAATAAGTGACTTAAAACAAGAATCAATCACGAAATAAAGATTAAATTTATTATACAAATAATTTAATAATTTCATTGAGTCTGTGGTTTCCTTTTAAAAATGTGCTTGTGGGATCCATAAAACTATTAAATTATTGGTGCAGTTAAACCCAAAATTTTCCTAACATCGATGGGTTTTTACTGTTATTTAAAAAGTTTTAAGTCAGTGCTATAAATTTGTAGGAGGAAAGATCCCTATACTTTAATAAAACTATTCTGTCTTTTATGAAATGTATTTCTTGTATTTTTCTAGGATCTCATAAACCAAGGAAGAGAAAAGGTTGTGGAAGCAACAAATAGTGTGACAGCAGTGCGGATTCAGCCTCTTGAAGATATAATATCCGCTGTAGTAAGTTGACAGTTGTCTGACTCTGGATTGGATTTCTGTTCTTTCTTCTGTCATTTGCTTTAATTTTATTTATTTCACTGTTTCTGTGGGAAAGGGGGCATAAATCTTACACCTTTATTTGCAATAGTAAAATACTACTAAACTGGGGAATAGTGCCAAGATTCAACAGTTTCATGTAGATGTTGGCACAAAAAACAGAAATGGGAAAAATCTACGAACTAGGAAATAAATCAATTATGAAAATGTAAGAATTGTTTACATAAATATGTTTTTATTACTGCTTGCACAAATTAAATCCAAATAGTTTCATTTCAGAGATAGCCAACTATTATCTGTCAATGGACAGCTTAGTACCCTGCTTTTTCTTTGGAAAATAAAGGAAAAGGGGAGAAAAGCTCTTAAAATCCTAAATGTTTTTAAGAAACTTATTTTCCCTTTATTATGCTGCCATACAGAGTAAATAGAAACTCTTTCTTTTAGTGGAAGGAAAACATGAATCTCTCAGAGGCCCAAGTACAGGCATTAGCATTAAGTAGACAAGCCAGCCAGGAGCTTGATGTTAAAAGAAGAGAAGCTATCTACAATGATGTATTGACAAAACAACAGATGGTAAGTATTCGCTCTCTAGGTTATGCTTACTTTTCTTGAATTTATAATTGTGTGATATCTGTCAATAACTATCCCTCATGTGGATGAATAGACTATCATTGGTTATTGTTGGAAGAAATTTTGTTGAAAAACCTAGTAATGTCAAGGAAGGTAGTATCTTTTGTTATAGTCAAACAACAGTTTCCCAAATGGGTGTCCTTGAAGATTTCTTAATGTAATTTATTTTGTTTATTATGGACATCTCAGAAATTATACCAGACTTTTTAAAAAATGCATTTGTTGTTTTTAGATAACTTCCAAAAATAAGTATACTTTTTAATATTTTTAATTTGAGAATACAAAGTAGAGCAGTTGATAATAAGACTAAAGTTACTACTAAATTATGTAATTCTTTAAAAGACTAGCATATTCCAGCATCCTAGATTGTTTTTTTTTCCCCTGGCATAGTCTTTTGCCAGCTATCTGCATTGTATTGGGAAATTTCAACTGCTGACACCAGGAAATCAATTTCTGTGGCATGAATTTTACTTAGAAAGCATTATAAAATTTTGTGGTTTTAAATTAGCTTTGCAAATTCTAGACATTCCAGGTAGGAATTATTCTGACATCAAGTACTTTTTTCCTTTGGTGTTTGTCACTAAAAATGTTTGTCTGTTTCCCTGAGAAATATTCGGAAGAATGACAAAGAAAGGAGACTTGACAAAAAGTGCTGTAACTAATACTTGAGACTAATCACAGTGCAGGACAGGTTACCATGGCAACTAACCTAAATGCTGCTTGCAATACAATAGTCAAGTAATTAAGAGAATTTAGCCCTAAATGGTGTTACTAACTGGTTTCTACAGTAATGGTCCTGTGAATGCCATCAAATTAGTAATGGTGATAACAATAATGTGTTTTCCTTTTGGTATGGTACCCCCTTAACAAATTGATTTTAACTCAAAACTTGATACTTGCCTCTTGGAGACAGGTCATGTACTTGTTAACAGCTCCCTTTTCTCTCTCTAGTTAATCAGCTGTGTTCAGCGAATACTTATGAACCGAAGGCTTCAGCAGCAGTACAATCAGCAGCAACAACAACAAATGACTTATCAGCAAGCAACATTGGGTCACCTCATGATGCCAAAGCCTCCAAATTTGATCATGAATCCTTCTAACTACCAGCAGATTGATATGAGAGGAATGTATCAGTCAGTAGCTGGTGGTATGCAACCACCACCATTACAGCGTGCACCACCCCCAATGAGAAGCAAAAATCCAGGATCTTCCCAAGGGAAATCAATGTGATTTTGCACTAAAAGATTAAAGGATTGTTAAAATCATAGAAAGATCTTTTATTTTTTTAGGAATCAATGACTTAACAGAACTCAACTGTATAAATAGTTTGGTCCCCTTAAATGCCAATCTTCCATATTAGTTTTAAATTTTTTTTAAATAGGGCATACCATTTCCTCCTGACACTTGTCAGTGACGTTGCCTAGAATCTTCTTACAAACATTGAGTACAGAAGATATTTCAAATTGTTTTCAGTGAAAACAAATCCTTCCACAACAGAAAAAACTCCACAGGTTTCCTCTAAATTTTTATGCCTGCTTTTAGTGACCATAAAATTAATGAATTTAGGAAAGAATGCAGATTTATATACTCATTATTTACATATGAAAATAAACAGCTGAGTTCTTAAAGTTGATTCCTCAAGTTATGAAATGCTTTTGTACTTAATTTCTTGATTAATGTGATTGAAATGGTTTTAATGTTCATTTGACTAAAGTCTGAAACTGGGCTCCTGCTGTATCACCTCTGTGGCTGAAAGTTAGAAAAGGTTATCTTTGACACGAACTGTGTGCAATATTCTTAAATACTACTGCTTGGAAATTTGGAGGAGTCTTGCAGTTATCTTTGCATTGTATAAACAGCCTTAAGTACAGCCTAAGAAGAGAATGCCTTTTCCTTCTTTAGTCTTTCTGCCATTTTTTACTTTCAGTTACATGTGCTGAAATAATTACTGGTAAAATATCAGGGTTGTGGATTATCTTCCACACATGAATTTTCTTTCTCCTGGCACTAATACAAAGCACATCTCTTAACGCTTGGTGCCAGTGCTAGTGCTTCATCCTGTTGCTGGCAGTGGGATGTGACTAACAAAATCAAGTTCTAGCATTTTAGGAGGTTAAGGCTAATGTTGTGGTTATTATGTTCACACCCTGTAAACAACATCAAAATGGCAGAACCATTGATGACTTTAAGTTCACATGAGGAATGTGCTTTAACGATTCCAGTACTATCAGTATTGTGAAATAATTCCTCTTAACGATAAGGATCACTGGCTTCCATGCTCTCCTCTTTTCTAATCATGTTTTCCCCCCAATTTCCCTGTTTTTTGACGTAAATTATGTTTCAAAGTTCAATTTTTTTTTTAGTTTAGATCTATGAGGCAATTTTCTGATCAAAATTTATTCATCTAATACCCTTCCAAGAAGTTTTGCTAGAAAATCATTACAATGCTTTTTTAAAAAAAATCCAGACCTGTAAAAATGACTTACAAGTTTGTTTATGTACAGTTTGGTTGCTTGAATTAAAGAAAACTGATTGTTAAACTACGTGAGTCAACTGAACATGGCAAAACCGTTTTTAAGATGGTAATGTAACAGGTAGTGCAAATAGCTAAGGATTCCAGAAACAAAAAGGCTGGGTGGAGGATTTGTTCTCTAGGTATCACTGGATTAGAATGAATTTAACATTAAACTAAAACTGTTTTGAGTTGTCTAGATGATTAAGAGATTTCCATTTTTGTCTTGAAAGAACTAGTGACAAAACATCTAAGAACACTAGGTTTGTGATTTAGAACTTGTAGGTTTGGTGGTTCTACCCCCCCACCTTCCCATGGTGACTTATCACTAACAAATTCCATATATTTGAATATTATGCCAGCCATAGAATAAAGTTTATTTAATTGGGGGGAGATATGTGTTTACTCTTAGAAATGAAAAAGACATGATTTATGAGGTAAATATTTGGAGGCAGTCTACTCTGGCCAGCTGCTATCAGTTGGTATTTCTCCAAGTCAGACCACTTTAAATCTGATTTATTAGACCTGGAAACTTTCAATATGGTCTAATTACTTGCTCAAAGACATAGATGTGAAAATTTTAGGCAACCTTCTAAACTTTTTTTCACCATGGATGAAACTGACTAAAGGAATAATACATAGAAGGAACAATTGGAAATTAGAGATTTGAAGTAACTTGGACCACTTTGCATACACTCTTCTCACTTGACATTTTAGCTACATAATATGTACTTTGAGTATAACATCAAGCTTTAACAAATATTTAAAGACAGAATCACATCAGTAAGATACTAAAAGGCTCATTTTTATATTTGTTTTAGATGTTTTAAATAGTTGCGATGGTTTAAAAAATGAAGATTTAAAATGTTGCTTGTAATACAGTTTTGCCTGCTACATTCTCCACATTTTGTAATGTTTTATTTCTTTGGGTGTAAAGCGTTTTTGCTTAGTATTGTGATATTGTATATGTTTTGTCCCAGTTGTATAGTAATGTTTCAGTTCATCATCCAGCTTTGGCTGCTGAAATCATACAGCTGTGAAGACTTGCCTTTGTTTCTGTTAGACTGCTTTTCAGTTCTGTATTGAGTATCTTAAGTACTGTAGAAAAATGTCACTTCTTCCTTTAAGGCTGTTTTGTAATATATATAAGGACTGGAATTGTGTTTTTAAAGAAAAACATTCAAGTATGACAATAATACTATCTGTGTTTTCACCATTCAAAGTGCTGTTTAGTAGTTGAAACTTAAACTATTTAATGTCATTTAATAAAGTGACCAAAATGTGTTGTGCTCTTTATTGCATTTTCACAGCTTTGAAAATCTGTGCACATATTGTTTCATAGAAAATGTATAACTTTGATGTCCTATTTAATGGTGGTTCTTTTGCACATTTAGTTATTTAATACTGGGAGGTCAAGAAGTTTGATTTTTGATTCTGTTATGTACTAAATTCTCTAAAATGAGGTTTCTAACCTCAAAAAGAATTTACATACTGGGAAGCCTATGTGTATATGTGTTAGTTTTGGTCTATGTGTAACTCCAGCACCATTTCTAAAATGGTTTCCCAGCAGCTGTGTCACCCATTTAAGTTAAGATGGGCTACCAGTCCACACTTGATATGAACTCTGCTTACCATCCCCACACTATAGCAGGTTAATGAAGATCTTGTTATCTGGCCTCCAAAACAGGTGAACACTTTGTAGCCTTCCCTTAACTGTACCCATTCTCCCGCTAGTATCTTAAAAGCAGGTACATATTTCTGTGCTCCAAACAAAACCTTAAAGACAATTACTTAATCTATCTCAGAAACCTTTGTTTCCTCTGAGGATGGCGTGCTGTGAGGGTATAGATTCTTTAATTTGTAAAATAGGTCATCCTTTTACATGTCATTTCACTAAAAATTAAGTGCAGGTCATCTTATTTCACCGTTTAGTCTCAAGTAACACTTGGCTAACTCCCAATCAAATCTACCCTTAGAGATGAAAATTCTTCCACCATTTATTTTTTTCAGGAGTCTGTAATCTGTGCCAGTCCCAAAGAAGTGACCGTTTCAGAAAATGTTTTGTTTGTGCAACATTTAAAATATGCTGTTATATGGAGGTGAATAAAAATTTAAAATCCAAAATATATATTGTTTCTAAGCTCAATATCTGCTAGGTAACCAAACTGCCCACATCACTCATGTTGGTCTAATACTGGAATGGCCCCTTCCTGCCCCTGCCTAAGTGCTTTTACTCCCTGCAGTACTGCCATAAAATTCATTTACCATTCCCTACTGCAATCCTTTCATTGGAATAACCTTCCTGACATTGCACTTACTCAGCCAACTAAGAGAGCACCATTCCCCAGTCTTGGGATCATTTTGATAGTTAACCACTACACACACATTCACCAAGGAAGAGAGCATAGCAACTGAAGCCTTTGTTAAAGATAGATAAGCGTTCGACTTTAATTGAAGGACTGAAGAGGAAGAGCAATCCTAAAATACTGCAAGCCTGGCCCTCTTTAATTTCTCAGGACTACGAAGTATCCCAAGCACTAGCTCTGCCCATGAGCTCCCCACATTCTGCCCTCACTTCCCTTTCCTGCTGGAGACTTGTAAGCAAAGAACTTGGCTCTCCTCTCCTTCAGCTTATATCAGATTTCTGAGACTTATACTCATTAAATAGAAGTGACCCCCTCCCTGTAGTCCTCAAATTAATACAGGTTGGTTTTCAAGAAAGGTGAAGAGATGGCTTACCAGATGCAAGGATGGGGTTTGTTTCCGGTACTCGAGAAAGTACATTGAAAGAACAAATGTAAAGAAGGACCAGCAAAGACTAGAGTGGAATGGATTGATGTAAGGTCTTGAAATCTTCAATAAGTAATTCAATGCAAAGGATAACTAACATGGGTTTCTGAGATTGCTGGTGGGTTCAAAATTGGTAAGCGGGTAATTTGAAAGGTTTAGAATGCAAGGTGAAGAAAGACTGCAGCCGGTAAGATGAATTCAGGCATTCAGTGGCTACAATTTTAGGAAGAAAGGGAAAATATCACTAGAGGTTGTATAGAGTACTGAACTTAAAAGTTTTGACAAAAGCTTGCTGTCTGCCACTAAGGAGCCCACCTTTCTCAGAATTTCTGAATTTACACACAGTACTCTTTAAATACTCTCAAGCCTGATAAGTCCATTAGTGGCATTCTTGTTCTTTCTTGATTTCGTTATCCTTAATTATACCCATATACATATTCACAGCAAGTCAGTTTGGTCCAATTAACTAAATTGAGTATAATTCTATTTCTTCAAGCTAATTCTTCAAAGGGCTAAATCCATTCCTGTTACTTTTCTTGAGGCCCATCCATTCCAAATACTGGTATAAGCTTCCCTTGGTATTATCAAAGTGCCTGCTGGTTATTATATGTTAACCTGTGTGAAACATATCTGAGAAGAATGAGGAGAATTTAATTATATTCTTTTCATTTTAGTTAAGCTAAAAGTGAGACCAAAGTCAAATCCATTCCACTTAGGAGACAGAAGACATATTCTAGTTAAATTATCTGGGTCTTTTATGTTTCGTTTGGAAAATGGGGCTGTAATAATACCTTAGTTTCTTAAAGGTAGGAGACTGGACCAGGTGATTCCCTGAAGTTCCTTTTAGCTCCAAGAGTTAGGGTTTAGCTATGAGCACAGTTTGAAGCTAAAAGGCAATTTGTGTCTAAAGTTTGCGAACAGAAATCCCTTTTGACTAACCTTCCCCACTAAGCTATACCTTTTCTTTTTTTCTGTTTAGAAAAATGAGAGGCCTACAGGCATTTTAATGACAAAGTAGATAAGTCAAGTTGTAATTGGGTCTAATTACCACTTCCACATGCTGTAACCTTTATCTTTTACCCAGAGGCATTCACAGAGCTGTATTTCTCACTGCCTTTGGAACTCTGCAGAAAATCAGAAAAAAACATGTTTAAAGTTCTAATTCTTATATCGTGGTTGCCTGATTGTATTATATACTTGACAAAACATCAAGATAAACATAAATTAGCTTTTGTGAAGTCTGTCTTTTAAGCAAATAATTGGCAACTTCCCATTCTATTGCTTCCCATTCTATTATTGTTGTAAAATACAAATGAGACTAGTATTTAAATTGCCTGGTCTGGATGAAGTTCATAAGGAGTAGAAGGCAATATTTCTTTATACTGACTCATGTAATAGCATATGTGGCATACTTGTCCAGATGTCGGTTTATTAAAAAAAAAAAAAGTCAAATCGTGTGATTAAAACTAATAGAAGAGTGAAATGGTGATTTTTTTTTTCCTGTAGCTACCTGTCTTCGCATGCCAGCAGCACAGCAGGTAGAAGCCTGTCTCTCTCTAACAGGCTGAATACATTTCAATGAAAACAAAACCAAACCTAAGAAAAAAGGAAAATGGTTAATATAATCACCTAAGTTCTCGTTAGTTCATTCCCAGCTCTTGGTAGGTTTTCAACAATACATCATGAAGGTTGAGCTTCAAAGGCTTTACTGATGCAGGCTTGCTTGGACTGTATCTTTCTCAGCAAAGTAAACCTGTTATTACCAGGTTTCCTAGACCCCTCGTCCCATCTCTTGCACACTCTGATGGATGTGTTAAGCTCGAATGAAGTGCCTTTTTCTCCCCTTCAAACTGCCTACCCTACCCATACACACCTTTATATTTCTAATACCTTGGTGTGTGGTGGCGTGGGAGAAGAGCTTATAAAATCAGAATTGTAGAGATGGTAGTGGTCTTTGAGATGCTGCAGCCCAGCCCTCTCCCTTTGCAATCAGGAAAACTGAAGCCCAAAGAGTGCAAGATGCCCAAGGGCACCCAAGACTTTAAGCTTGTACTCCACTCCAGGTGCCTCCTTATTACACTCATATCCCAATTCATTGTTCATTATGCCAGACCACATTAAGGAAATTTAAGAATAATTGGTACTGAACTAAGCTTTTAAGTGAAAGCTGTGGGAAGTAGAAGAGTCTATGAACCCAAATGAAAGGGAAAAAAGTTAATGTGTGGACAACAGTAAAGTGGGGAGACTACCGACATGCCATAAGCCAGAGCACTGGCTTCAGGATTTCATTCAGAGGGATATTTCATTTGCTTAAGTTCTTTTACCACACTCAGCACAGTTGGGAACAATAGAATCTGCCACTTTACTGTTCCCAGGATGGAATCACTCAGATGAGGCAGGTTGATGTGCCCAATATACAAATCCCTACCTATTTCAAACGAAGAATGCTATATTCACAGGGAAACAAAATGGACACCTGTTGCTGTAGTAATCACTGTCAAACTATGATGGCTACCCTTGACTTATCTAGATGTGCCACAGGAACCATGAATACTTCTTTACATAGCTCCAAAGAGCCAGAGAACAGAGAAAATGATTTTAATACGCAGGAATTCGGGACATCGTTCTATCTGTATAAACAATTCCTATTTTACAGGTGAGGAAATTTTAAATAATTTGCCCAGTGTCACACAACTAATTGGGAAAGAGTATTCAAGAACCTGTGTCTGATTCTGTTTTTACCCTTGAATAGTCTGCAACTCTTCCCAGAAACACTTTTTTTCCTGACCTTTTGCAACAACAGAGTACCATATTTTGTTCTTTTATATAGCAGTTTTTACTTGTCTGCTTTCACTTTAAGCAAAACCTTAGTGAGACAATAATCTCCTATGGCATTTTCCTCTGTCCCTCTTCTGGGGTGACTTTATCCTCTGGCTACTGAGTTTGATCATAAAGATGTTTAACCTTTGAAGGGGATGCACTGGAATGCAGGAAGGCAGAGGGCCTATTCTACAAAGCTCATTCTGTTTCATGAAACAGAGTGGCCTAAATTAATGAAAGGTAAAACTTTGGGGGCCCTTTCACGAACTTACCTTTCATCTCCCCTTTTCTTGTTGTTCACAGTGTCTCCTTTCTGGCAACAAATGAACCTCTCCATCTGCACTGTGGAACCAAGTTCCTCCCTCCTCTTTGGAGATCTGGTTCTGTCCATCAGCCCCTTTCCCTCTTATGCCTTCAATCTCCCTTGACCTAACCCTGAACACTTCCTGACTGGCTAACTGCAGTAGCCTCTTAATTTCCCTCCCCACCTTCATCCTATCCCCTTTCCATATTGCAGTCAGGATGACACTATTAAATCACTAATATGAATATGCTTCATTTCTTCAGCATGTTTGTCACCATATAGCAAGTAAAATAACTGGGAATGTAACAATACATTCTCCAGTAATCTCCTAAATCATCAAATATGGCCAAGGGCTCAGCCTCTAAAGCCTAGGATTTCTGTTGTTCCCTCCACCTGGATTTATCTTGAGGAGCAGTATGGGGGAAACTGATGGCTGTTTTCTCTGTCAGTTGGCTGCAGGGTTTTGAATCATTTCCATGTAGTCAGTCACTGCACAGGAACAGGAGACTCCAGAGCAAGAGGAAAGCAGGCTTTCCCTCTGCCTTTTGAACCCTATTTCACTTAAGCCTCTCTTCACGTGGTCAATGAACATTCGTTTGCTCTTACTGAGTCCTTGTGCTGCAAAGGTGTAATGAAGTAGTTACAGAGAGCTGATATTAAGAAGCTTGTATACCTGTGTGTAGCTCCCATTTGTGATGTGTCTTCTGTGTGTCAGTCACTGTTTTAGACAACTTATACCCATTATGCTATTTAACCCCTTAGTATTGTCACCATTTGAAAACTGAGAAAACCAAGGTTGGCCAAAAGGTCAAGTGGAACGTCTGGATTTCAAATCCAAGTCCGCCAACTGCAAAGATCCTTTTTTCCTTATATGACACTTTTACAATCTGTTTGGGAAGGTAGAGATGATGTTCTCAGTATGAAAACAGTACATTGGAACAGCATGTAATTAGGTGATAATTTGTGGTACTGGTAAAGACAAAATGATATGATGTAGAGTATAGGGTTGAAGTTCAGTAAACTGTGGAGCCAATTTTGATTCTGCTGCAAGGTACTTACCCTTAATACATAAACCTCTTTGGACATCAGTCACCCTATTTTTTAAACAAGGAGGTTGAAAAATGCAAATGGATTTGAAACAAATGGAAAGATGCTTAATATCTATCATAAAGTACAAATAACCCTAAAACAAATTTTCACCTATATCTCATGTG